GAGATTGCCTTGGACTCGTCGAGTCCCATAATCCCCAAGTCCCTTATGAGCATAAACAACTGAAGGATCTTCCATCCTATCACCTGGTCGCTCTACAGAAAGGACTTGGTGGTCATTACACCCTGACTCGCCGAGTCCCATGAACAACTCGTCGATTCCATCCTTGACCATTATTATACAGTCGATTTAAATGGGTCTTAACACACTAAAACCATAGATTTGGCCTCCTAATGTCCACTTTTCACGTAAAGTTCCAAACTTGGTGTATATGCATGGGGTCTTTGGCTCAAAAAGCCATAAAAGATGGTCTACAAGATGCATAGGGTGTTTATGGCAACAAGGTGGGCACCTTTATGCCATAAAGACCCCCAATAGCCCCGGATCAGAAGCACAAACTCACTTCTTATACTAAATCCCGAATACATCCTCACTAGGGCTTAGAAGGATGTAGAAAAGGTCCAAAATCTAAATCCAAGCAATGAATAGACAAGGTTTCAGCTTCATACCACAAAATAAGCTGGAAATGAGCTTAAAACTTTGGATCTTCTTGTTCCCCCTTGATCTCACAAGTCTCCTTCTCCTCTTCAAGCTTCAATCACACAAAAATAACACCACAAGGCTCAAGAATACACAAAAGCGGCTAAGGTTTCGAGTTAAGGTTTGCTCTAGACGATGGGGGCTGGGTTGGGGTGTTATAAGGTGTTTAAATAGGGTGCAAACCCTCAATTTAGGGTTTCACTCAAACAACATCTACTCGTCGAGTTAGTCTCCCGACTCGTCGAGTAGATTACTTAAGTTCCCCGTGGATCAGGACCCTACTCGACGAGTTAGGCCTCCAACTCATCGAGTCCCAGAGGAAAACATAAGAAATACTTGAATTGAATGCATACCAGGGATCGGGTGTTAAAAATCTCCCCCATTTATCTTAGACTTCGTCCTCGAAGTCTGCTGCTCGATCCCAAAAAAGCCTGGGGTAATGCTCCCTCATCTCGTCCTCTAGCTCCCAAGTCCATTCCGAGCCCTTGCCTCTAGCTCCCAAGTACATTCTAAGCCCTTGTTCCTCAGATCTTTCGACTTCCTGTCAAGGATTGCCACTGGCCGCACGATGTAATTTAGGTTGTCATCCACCTGAATATCCTCTAATGTCACCACTGCCGAATCGTCCACCAGACACTTCCGCAACTAGGAGATGTGAAAAGTGTTATGAATCTGACTAAGATCGACTGGCAGATCCAGTCTATATGCCACCTTCCCCCCCCCCCCTGGGCTATAACACTGAAGGGACCAATATACCTAGGACCCAACTTGCCCCACTTTTGGAATCGAATGATGCCCTTCCAAAGCGAAAATTTCAGGAGCACCATATCCCCGACCTGGAACTCCAGGTCCGATCGATGCTTGTCGGCGTAACTTTTCTACCAACTTTGAGCAGTCTGAAGCCTGCTCTGAACCTGTTGGATCCTCTCCATAGTCTTGAGTACCACTTCAATACTTCCCATGACCCTCTGGCCAACCTCACCCCAACATATCGGGGTCTTGCACTTCCTCCCATACAACATCTCAAAAGGAGGGCGGTCGATACTCGCATGATAGCTATTACTATAGGAGAACTCCGCCAAGGGAATATAAGTATCCCAACTACCTACGAAGTCTAAAACACATGCCCGTAGCATATCCTCTAAGGTCTGGATGGTCCACTCGCATTGACCATCCGTCTGTGGGTGAAAGGAGGTGCTAAAGTGCAGATGAGTACCTAGCTCATCATGAAACTTCTTCCAAAACCTGGAAGTGAACCGTACATCCCTGTCTATGGGTTAAAGGCGATGCTAAAGTGCAGACAAGGTGGCTCACTTCGGACATGTGGCAAGACACGCGTCGGATGAGACGGTGAGGTGGCCAACTATGGAGCTTCGAACACGCCACGATTCGGACACGGGGCAGGCATGCGAAGCCGAGACCGAGACCGAGACCTGTATGCGAGATTTCTCAGATTTTGTGCCCAAATCATCAAAATTTCATAAATTTCGCATACGAGCTCCGTTTTCAACGTTCTTTATATCCATGCGTAGGTGAGATTATACTCTACAACTTTCGTTTAGACTGTGTTGGCTAATTTTGACGTTATTTTTAATATTATTATTTTTAACAGACCGGGATAGGAAAATCCGTTAAAAATTCATAACTTCTTCATTCGACGTCCATTTTCATCAGTCTTATACCATTCTACTACTATTGACGAGACATTCGATTCTCGTTTAGGTTGTGTCGGCTAAAAATCAGTCGATCTTTATTTCGAGTTTTTAGTTGTATACTGGTATACTGAAACTTAGAAAAATCATAACTTCCTCATACGAAGTCAGATTTTATCGTTCTTTTAATGAAAATTCTCGGTTTAACGAATACTACGACTTTTATTTAGATCACTAAAGCTAAAAAGTAGATTATTGAAAACCCACTTTTTATGCTATATAGTGTTTTGCTAGTGTTGTCGCGGATCTTCAATTGGGCATAACTTCTTCGTTATAACTCGGATTTCGATGAGGTTTTCGCCTAAATGTTTCTAACGAGATAATATACAATTTTCAATAACATTATTTTTATTTATTTTCAACTTTATATTTTCGTTAATTTCAATAGTTAGGCTTTTGATCGGAATCTCATAAGACTTCCAATACTTTATGAATGATTCTAAACATAGTTTTACTTTAATTCTTCATAAAACTATCTTGTTAGAACTCAACACTCGAAATCATATATTAAATAATATTCATTTTTAAACAAAACACGATAACTGAACGTGTATGTTACAACGATATATGAAATGTACAGAGATTAAAATAAATTTGTATTGTTGAGAAATTATTCATTACTATGAGTTAGAACATTATTGAGAAATACATTATAATTGATAGATTAAATATAATTAACAAATAGATCATGATTGATGGATTTGTTATAAACAAGTGATAGATGTGGCAATGCTCTTCACAATGTCCTCTAAGGACATGCTTGGCATTTTAGGTTGTTGAGGAGGTGGAGGATATGGATGTTGGAACTGTGGAGGTTGTTGGTATTGGTCGTTACTCCAAGCTTGGTATGGGCTTTGGTATTGGTTGTATCCCCAAGATTGGTTGTTGTCCCACCATTGATCATGTTGAAGTTGATCATAACTCCATTGGTTTGACAAGTGGTAGCTTCCCTTCTCTTGCACTTCTTCCCATTCTCCTTCTAAATATGGACACATGTCGAAATGATGTCCATTTTGGGCACAAAAATCACAAAGAAGAGGTGTAGGATGCACAGTTTGGTCACTTTCAATCATCCTAACTAACTGAGCTAGCTCAAAAAGTTGGTCTTCAGTGCAAGGAGTGTTTATTTTTGAACCATTTTTTTTTCTTTTTCTAATTTTGGGGTTTTAAATCAGAGTACCTGCATAATGAGATCTAGGCATAGAGAAACAAACTGATTAAATGAAAACCAATCCCCGGTAACGGCGCCAAAATTTTGGTGGTTGTCGAGGCCAACAAAAATAATAACCCTAAATATTACACACTAAAATAGTGTATAGTGGTAAAGGGGTCGAATCCACGGAGATTGGTTCAATTTATAACTCTATGAAAAATCTCTTTGTAAAAATACTTGTAAAATAACAATAAAAATAAAATGGGGGGTTTTGGTGTTTTGAAATACTTGAAACAAACTAGAATTAACTATGATTTAAATTAACTATTAAAGTTTCCTCACTTTGACTTTTGATGAACATATCATTAGAATCCAATGGTTCAATCCTTTGATTTAAATCCTTAATTTGGTTTAGTAATCCAAGGAGCTTGAGATTACCTAGACTTTTCTTAATTGTTGAAATGGCTAGAGAAGCTCATAACAATTTCCTTAGTCAAAGTTACTAATTCCAAATAGCATGTATTTAGGGAAAGTCAACTAGCATTAAGAACCAAAAAGTCACCAAATCCAAGAGTAGTCAATTGTTTTCACTACCATGTTGGAGAAAATGTTTTTGTGATTGTGTAAAGCAAAAACAACACAAAAATCATTTGTTGCTTGCTAATTTGTGGATCCTTTACTTAATCAAGAAATTAGCCAACTAATCACCACAAACACATTTAAACTCATGAATAAAAACATACTAGTAGTGATAATATGATAAAACACAAATCATTTCCATAAAGATTTAAGAACAAGTTCATGGATTCTTCAACATTCAACAAAAGGTCAAAGGATTCAACAAGAAGTCAACCAAGATTAGTTTAGCCAAGCATGGCTAAACTCAAAGAAACAAAGTTAGAGAAGATTGTACCAAACATTTTACAATAATCAAGATGTGGAAAGAAGATGTTCTTGAGGTGTTCTTGGCCTTCAAAAGTGCTCCAAACTCCAGAGAGAAAGTGTCAAAATCGGACATCCAAGATAAGGCTGAAAAGGCACACCAGCCTTCCCAATATAGAGCTCTAGACAAAATCTCGAATTTGCCCTTGTTAGGAATCCACACGGGCCGCGGGGAATCTTACATAGGCCGCGTGACTATGACGGAGTTTTTAGGCTTCTTCAAGATTTGGGCACCCACAACTAAAACATTGGCCTAGTTCGAGTCTAATCAGCTTCTAGCCATTTTTTCTTCAATATTTCTTCAATTTGAGCCCAATTTGTCTCTCCACATCCCTTAAAGCTTCCGCAAACTCCTAAACATCGATCTTGCACACTCAAGAATTTTCCAGTGCCTTTCAAATTTAAAGTTCAACACTTCTACGCCTTCAAGCAATTGACAAGCCCACTCCATGAATCACCTCCATAGCCATCAAGCACGAAATCCCTTTTGCCCTTCAAGTCTAATCTCCTCCCAAGAGTCCTGCTCCGCTAGTATCCAAGAAAATCTGCAATAATGCTCAAGAAACTAGAAAGTACCCAAAATGATCATAAAAATAACAAAAGGGAAAATATGCATGGAAATTAACTAAAATGCGAATGAAATGTGCTAATATAAACTATAAAAAGAAGTAAATAAAACAAACTATCACACCCCTCAGTTGTTTCTTTTCTTCAACAGCCATGGCTAGCTTACCATCAACAATTTCTTTAGCAGCAATGGCTTCAGCATTCAAGTTCTCTAGCAAAGCTACCCTTTTCTCTAGTCTTGCAGTGTAACTAGTGTCTTTCATTATTTTCAACTCATACTTGAGATTGTTGAAAGCATTCTTGTAGTGTGGTGTCAACTCATCATCGATCCACTTGAAGTATTTACACTTCTCAGCTGCCATCTCCACATACAAACAAACATACCAATGAAATATCCAGTCACAAACACTAGAAGCTCGTTCCGCTATCCACTTAATAGAGAACAGTAAACCCTAAACTCAAAATTATCCCCATTGTTTGCTAAACCCTAATTCCACAATCTTGACAACAGATTTAAAGAAAACGATGCTTACCAAAGAGTCAACGCAGTTGCGGAATCTACGAGATGGATTCTTATCTGACATCGACATCCTTTCTACGCTTAACTTTAGATGACGACAAGCGCACAGGTCGTTGTCACGATTCCTAGTAGCGAGAACAGTGTGGTTATGAGATGATGATCCAGATGAGTATGCCATCGAAGGAGAAGCTAATCGATTCTTAAGGATTCGTTACCTGAAAAGTAAATGTTATAAACTGGAAATGATCTTGAATATCTTGTCTTCATTTAGGGCACTCTAAATAGCGTATTAATGAAGCTGATCCGTTACTTGCCAACTGTGTATCTACGTGGACAACATTGTCCACCTATGCAGTAACTTAATGGATAACCGACAATTGTGTGTAAATTTTAGGGTAAATGGTATAAGAGACAGGTAATTTTCGAGTTTAAGGGTCCATAAAGACCAAAAAAACAATATTGGTCTTTTAAAACATAAAGTAAAAGTTAGATGGGTCTTTATAACAAAACCCATTTTTTTTTAATCCAAAAATTCAGTAGCTATTAAGAGTACTTATACTATATAATTAAATATTCACATCATTACCCTAAATGAATGTTGTATTTGATGAATTTTTTCTTAAATAAATAGTATCATTAGACGTGACTTTACAAATTGCTTATCCATCAAAACTTTTTTATATATTAAAATTATTACTTTACAAATTGCTTAAGGGTTATAAGCTTATATTTTTTTTTTAATAAACTCGTGTAATACACGGGTTTCACACCTAGTGTATATATATATATATATATATATATATATATATATATATATATATAGAGAGAGAGAGAGAGAGAGAGAGATCATTGATTGAGAGATTGATCACGATTGAGAAATAGATTATTGATTGAGAGATAGATTTTGAATGAGAAATAGATTATCACTTAGATGTTGGTTATGACAATACCACTAATGATATAAATTAATTATTAAATAAGTGAGAAAAAAGTTATATTATGATTTATATGATTTATCATATTATGTTTTAGTAGTTGTTATTCACTAAGTCGTGAGGCTTATGTTGTTATGATGATTTATTTTGCAGGTATATTGTTGTGATCCCGACTCAATGCTATACTTGAGGCTAGTATGATCATTGTGATAACTACTTGTATTCCAGAGTGTTAATGTTCACCAAAATTGTTGTAAACTTTTAAATATTAAATGAAATTTTTGGGGTGTACTTGATATGAAATATTGGGTGTTACAATTGCACCCCTTGATTCGCCAAGCAAACAAGAACCTCAGCTGTGGAGCATGAGTATTTAGACCAAAAGAAAATGTGGGTTTCTTTGAATCATTAATCATAACAGAATGGGAGGATGATGGCTCTTAATGGCCTAATTTTAGGGTTTTATCGTGGCTCAACTCTTAAGGCTCTTCCTTTTATATAGGTGGTGGAATATTATCATTTCCTAAATAAAATCCAAGAATAATATTATTATATTCTCATGTAATTATCATTTTAGAATTATTCATTAATTATTTTAAATAATTAGTATAACTCTTTTGGACATAATTAATTCCACCTAATTATTTATAAAAAATTACATCGATTTCTAATTATTTATTAACATATTAATAAATAATAAATTAAACAAAATAATTTCTAAATATTTATTGATGCTCAATAAATAACTAAATAATTTCCTTTTTATTTATTTTCTCTTTCTTGCTTATATAAAATGGATCCAAAATATGGACTAAAATGGATTTGGATTCAAAATGTAAATTTAGATTCATAATATAAAAATGATGGATTCATAAATGGGTTCACAATACATAATCACTCACGAGTCATAGAAAGTAAAAAATCAGAGGAAATCTGAAGATCAAAATTACAACGAAAGAAACAGAACGTCTCTCTTCCACCATCGCATCATTTATGCCCTTAATCTGTTTCAAGCTCTCCAACTCGATGATGTTCTATCTTTTTGTCGCTAGTATCCATCTCCACTTCATCGACGTGTTCTTAGATTGAGATCATAAAAAACATCGTCACTTTTTTAAAAATGTTAAAGTAGAAAAAGATAAGTTAGGAGAGAGGGAATAACGCATACCGGCTCTCTCATCTTCTAGGATAAAATTAAGATTTTGATTATATACTATTATAGATATTTGTTATATCCATACAGATTTTATCTAACTTAATCTACATATTATAACACATAATAAATTTATGTTTGTTAATTGATTTACCGTGGGTTCATAAGTCTTCAATTAGTTTACTATATATGATCGAATGTTTAGTATTCATATTTGTCTTAGAAGTTCTAGGATAAATATAATATATTGATTGTTAGTTGTGATTTTGAAGCAAACGATTGTTGATAAGATAAATAAAAAAAATTATCAATTATAATGAAATATGGACTAACTTGTAGGAATATGGAATTTATTCCGTTGAATAAAATCACGTATTCTAGCAAAGATGACGCTTCTTTATTTTGCAAGAACCATCGTATCCTCTTAAAACAAGGGGTTACAAGAAACCCATAAGTTAATATCCACAAAGAACTTGATAACATTCGGTTGTAGCAAGATACAAATCAGAGCTGAATTACAGTTTTCACAACAAATTCAAACTCAAAACCAAAATACAAATTTAATGAAAGTAAAAAAGTCCTATAATGGAAAAAGAACAAAAAAAAAAATAACAAGAAAAAAGTTTGATATATTCAAATCTTAAATGCTTCTCTGAACTTGATACTGAAACTATTGTCTAGGCTCTTCTTTGGTGCCCCCCCTGTGTGTCCTTGCATCATGGCCACAAATTCATTGTAATCTATGCGTCCATCCTGTTTTATAAATAAAATAAAACCAAAAACACAAACACTCTTAGAACTTAAAATCAATTTCGTGTTTTCTAACTTTGAGTATATAATATTCATGTCTTGATTTTTTCTTTTTACATTTTTGTGAAAAGAATAACGTTATCCATTAAAAAAAACAATAAAGAGTTAAGAAAAAAAAAAACTTACATTGTCTTGATCAACATCTTGAATCAACTCTTCAAGTCTAGCATCTATACCAAATTCATCACATGCATGTTGAAGCTCATCAGCAGTAATATAACCACTTCCATCTTTATCAAAATATGAAAAAGCAGCAAACAAATGATCTTCTCTCTCAATTTTATTCAGATGCAGAGTTGCAGCTACAAATTCCCCATAATCAATTGTTCCACTATTATCAACATCCGCCTGTGTTCAGACATTATGAATTTGTATTTTAAAAAAAAAAATGTAACCAATTATAAAAGAATCTGAAAAAAGTAGGGCTTACTGCTTGCATAAGATCATAGATTTCTGATTCCTTAAGGTTAGCACCAACTCTTTTTAATCCAGCTTTAAGTTCATCAAAAGTAATTTGACCACTGTTGTCTGTATCAATCATCTGAAACATTTGTTTTAGCCCTGCTATTTCTTCTTCAGACATACTCTCAGCTATAACCTGAAAAATGAAAACCAAATTCAAAAGTCACAAGATTGTCGATTTTAGCATTAACCCTTAGCCGGTTTGACCCCAAAAGTCAAATTATACTTGTTTTTGTTTGAAACAAATTGGATTAGTTAAAGTAAATAAGTGAAAGTGTGAAACTTACCCTAAGAGCCATTTTCTTAAGCTTGTTCATGGCTGAAAATTGCTTCATTCGACTTAGAACTGCTGAATCAAGAGGCTTGTCAGGAGCGACACCATCAACTTGAACCCATGGATGACCTGTAAAAAGGTCAACGTTATAAACAGATAAAAAGAATACAAATACGTTGAAATTAAAACAACCAAATCAATAACTACACGAGTAAAAAACAATTTTGAGTGGCAATAAGTTTAAATCTTTGAGTGATTTAGAAGGTCGTAAGCACTGAATGATTTTCAAAACGCTCAACCAGTTAACTTTTTAGCTAATTTGATATATTTTACCCATTGGAGATACAATATAACCAAAATCGACCCATTTTTAGGTCAACAATCTCGTTGTTTAAGCATGGAAGTAGAAGACTTACATAAAACTTCATGTGCAGTTAATCGTCTTTTAGGGTCTCGAATAAGCATTCTCCTTACAAGATCTTTTGCATCTTCAGAAATATTTGGCCATGGATCAGAAGAGAAATCAAGATCGCCTTGCAGGACTTGTTCAAATATTCCTTGCTCCGTTTCTATATATAAAATTAATATACCCATTAATTACCAAATACGAAAAAAAAAAAAATAGGCTACAATAAACAACACTAGTTATACGATTAATATCACGAATAGCTATAAAGATACACAAATTACAACAATTTTCATTTCATTGCAAAGTTTCCGATTTTGTCAAACTTTTATAGTTAAATTAACTACATGTCCTTAGCATTATTACAAATTATCGATGGTGGTGATGTTGATCATATGTAATGATGTATTCTCCTTTGTCGTTCTTGAAGGGTATTTTAGACATTTAATCAATAATCAAAAACTTCAATTAAGTGATGAGTAGAGTTAGAGTCACTCTTGAAGGGTATTTTAGACATTTGATCAATAGTCAAAAAACTTCAATTAAGTGAGGAGTCAAGTTAGAGTCGTTCGTGAAGGGTATTTTAGACACTTAATCAATAATCAAAAACTTCAATTACATGAGGAGTAGAGTCTTTCTTGAAGGGTATTTTCGACATTTAATCAATAATCAAAAACTTCAATCAAGTAAGGAATCGAGATAGAGTCGTTCCTGAAAGGTATTTTAGACATGTGATCAATAGTGAAAAAGTTGGACTAAGTTATAACTAGAGTCAAAAGTTGTAACTTTCATCAAACGGAGGGTATTTTAGACATTTGATCAATAGTCAAACACTTCTTTTATTCTAAAACTAGAATCAAAAGTAGTAATCTTCATGGCATGGAGAGAGTATAATCCAAAAAGATATGCAATAAAGAAGCATTCAACTATCAACATTTTGTATAATCAGTAATCACCAATAGGAAAAGAAGGAATCTTAGAACACAAACAAATTGTTTCCATGTATTTTAGGGTATAAAAAATGAAGGGTATATAAGTAATTTCACCAGCCCAAAATGGAGGTACACCACTTAATAGGATATAAACAATAACCCCAGCACTCCAAACATCCGCTTCAGGACCATAACGTTTTCTCAACACTTCTGGTGCCACATAGTATGGGCTTCCAACCACATCATTAAATGATTCACCTACAAAAACAATAATAATATTAACTCAATCTTTTTACAAACTTATGCATATCCATATTTGTTTCACTTGTTAACCATTCTTTAACCAAATTGGTAAAACAATGCAAATAAAAGTATACCTGGTTTGAAGAAAACCGATAATCCAAAATCAATAGTTTTGAGAAGTGAATCTTCTTTCTTATCAACAAGCAAGAAATTTTCAGGCTTTAAATCGCGATGCATAACACCTAAAGAATGACAAGTCTCAACAACCCCAACAATCGTTCTTGTAAGCTCAGCTGCTTTTTTCTCAGTGTAATGTCCTCTTTGAATAATCCTATCAAAAAGCTCACCTCCTGCACACAATTCCATAACAACATGAACTGCAACAGCATCTTCATAAGCTCCTTTAATGGCTATAACATTCGGATGCCCTGCTAAATGATGCATTATCTGAATCTCCCTTCTCACATCCTCCACATCTTCATCTGTCAATAGCTTCCTTTTTGCAATCGATTTGCACGCGTAATGTTCACCCGTTGCTTTTTCTATACAAAGAAAAGTTGTACCAAATTGCCCTTGTCCTAGTTTCTTCCCCAATGTGAAGAACTCCTTTAAACTCCCGGTTTTTCTTTGTAAGACTGAATCGGTTCTAAGGCCAGCACTTGATACCCTTTTCATTTGAGGGGCTTTTTTGGGTTTTACTTGTTGTTGTTGTTCTTGTTTCTTGTCTGGTTTTGGAATTGTGATTTGTTCTGGTGGCTTGTTTTGAACAGGTAATGGTGATTCTGATTGTCTGCTGTGATTTGATTGGTCTCCATTTGGGGTAGGTGGGGTGGAATCAGCTGGGGTTCTCCACATTGCAGCTGAAACGGATTGGATGAATCCGTTTTTTGAAATATTTGGTCCAACACAGGTGTTACCCATTTCGCTTTGATCAATTGTCAAGAAACCCGATAAGGATTTTAACATAAAGATTTGATTTTTCGCTCAGAGAAAGAAAGATCTGAACTTCATCGTCGAGATAACCTAGAAAAATAAAGTCAAACCCACTTCAATTGACTGCAAGATTGTCAAAACAAGAACATGGTATCAATTATCATATACTATCATATCACCTCCCAAGATACCCCCTTTTCACCTTTAATATAAAGATTCAAAACAAAGATCTAAACTTTATCAAAAACCCAAAAGTCAAATCCACTCCGATTGACTTCAAGATTATCAAAACAAGATCACGAATCTCAACTCAAATTGCCAAAAGCAGAAGCAAATTAAACTGAACCACGATTCAAAAACTATACAGATTTGATTCGAGTTGTATAAAGTAAATTAAACATCAAGTAACGATTAATCACATCAAGCGATAAAGAGCAACAAGCATTTTGTATGCATAGATAGAGAAGAAAAGAAGACCTAGAAAGGATGAGAGAGTAATCGAAAGTCTATGCAAAGAACAAACAAATGTTGAAAACGAAGGAAAAGGTCAAAGCATCTCAAATGGAAAAAAGGTTGAGAGATCTTGATACGAAGAAAACAAAGAAATACTTACCTAATAGCTATGGAGGAGAAGGCGAAGCGAAGCAGAGGTGCTGAATTAGTCTAACCATTTCTTATTTTATGTGTTTTGATTAGTTCAAGGGAATGAATGAGGAAAGATGTATTATGTGAGTAAAAACATGTTGAGGATTATTATACTATTACTAAATCGTGAAGTAGAATATATACGACTGTTTGTTAATTGTTAGTATCATCCAACCTTTCATTCACACGGACAAGATAAACGCGGTTACTCCTGTCCTTCTTTTGATATCTCAATCCCCCGAAACTGGCGTTTGATATTTTCAATTTGTTTTCGTCTTTTAAGTTCTTTTGTCGTGTTTTTTTTTCCATCTATTAGAGGTTACAAGTTCTTTAGATAATTTTCCATTTTCGACATTGTTGAAAGAAAATTCGCATAACTCCGTTTATAGGTAAACCCATTGTGGATCTTATCCAAAATAGTTGGACTTGGACCCAACAACCGGATCGGGCTGATGGATTGGGCAAGTTCACATTTGGTCGTGCATAAAACTACATGCAAAATATGGCATCTAGGTAGAATTGACCGGGTCTCTTTGTAGAATCAGAAAGATCAAGTGTATAGTTGTATCCAATCAATATTGATAATTATGAAGATGGAGAAACTTGAACCTATATGAGAATGATTAAATTTAGGGGTGAGCATTTGAATCGATCTGGAACCAGACCGCTTTGAGAGGATTGTGTGGACCGTGGACCGAACATATTGAGACATACTAGTTCCGATGCTGGTTGTCCGGTACTTGAAGCAGTACAACATCCGTTGTGTATGGTATAAGTCGTTAAAACAATAGTGAAAGTTAGTTTTTTTTATGTTAAAGTTGATTTTTTTTATGGAAGCGTATTACGAGACTGACGACAAAGGCATAAGGAGAAAACATAAAAGTTGGAAAAAAATTTACTTTTATATACCAACTTTGGACGATTGTAACTCATTGAATATGCAACTAAAACGACGAATTTATAGCCTAAAATAAAGCATAAAGTCTAAATTGTATGCTCCGACTTCAAACGAATTAGTTATGCAACTATTAGAAGATTACACATAAAAGTTGAAAAAACTCTCAACTTTAATATCCCGACTGTAACTCATTAAATATGGAACCAAAATATTGAAATTATAGTCTAGATTGAATCACAAACTCTAAAAAGGATCTCATATCAGTCTGATTTCAAACGAATGAATTATGTAATTTTTAAAAAATTCACATAACATAAATTGGGAATCGATCCAAACTAATCCAAAAGCAATAATTGTTGTACTGTTCTGATTAACTGATAAAAAATCATAACATGTTGAGTGTGATTTCATATAATGAGAACCAGCTGAATAGTATAAAACCGATCTCAATCTGGTGTCGGTCCAAGTACAAATTAATGTAGTCCGTCAATCTGGATGATCATCCCTAATTAAATTCATGTCTCGCGTTCAATGATATTAGAACAAATGGAAATAAAAATGACAATTCATTCGACATTAAAAATTAATGGATGTTTTATGAAGATAAACAATCATGTATGATTAGGAGTAGTGACATATCAGTAGACAGTGAACACAATTTGTATAGTTGATTAGTTTTATCACGTGTATAATTGTGTCGTGTATTATATACCAGTGTGTATTTTCGAAAAACATATATATATGTTATGTTATATATAATTAAACCCAGAGTAATAAATAAATTATGTATGACATTGGTTAAAGAAAAGTATTGATCTTTAAATTATACTAATTTAGTGGAAATAAAATAAAGTAATTTTGTGTGTTGTATGTAAATGAATAAAGGAAAACATTTTTTTTTGTTTTAGTTTATCTCTTCATGAATTAAAAAGAATGGGAAATGAACTCTATAAAATGACTCAACTAGTGGTGTTATAAAAAAAAAAAATAAAAAAAAAAAAAAATAAAAAAAAAAGCGTGGTTCCACATTAAACCAATTGGTTTCATCGTACCAACTGGTTTTATCAAACCAAACCACTTCAATGAACGAGTAATCTATTTTGGACCGAGTTTGACTAACTTTCATTTAGTTAATCTGTTTTTGACCTAGTTTAAATAATTCATAGAATATCTAATTAGTATATTTGCCTTTAACCCCGGGTTATATGCAAATATACTAATTAAATATTCTTTGAGTTATTATAGATTTTTAACTCCGAAATTAATGTAGAATAATTTATGTATAATACCAAAGACTTGACGCACGGTGGCTTAGAAATTAAAATCTCCACCAACCCAATTAAAATGTCACCATCAAACAAACAATGCAAGTACTCATGATTTGGGGATAAGATCTACTTTCGGATAAGATTTCTTAAGCCCAATGTTTAGCCCATTAAAGGTTTACGTTAGTTAGGCGCACACATTGCAAGTGCAAACTTCCCTTTTGGGTGGGTTGAGTCAAGAGTTAAGAAACCTTTCTTTCGATTGAATTGGGTTAATTTACATGAAAAACATAACCCATGGCATAAAGCAACGCTGGAAAAAGGAAGTGGCATGTTATTTTTTATTTTTATTTTTAAAGTTTGGAAGCACGGGAATGAATTAGCTTAGTTTACAAATGAACAAAACATAATCTAAAACATTGAAATAAAGACATAATAATACAACACTTATCCATTGATTACAAAATTTAAAGTTCAACGGACTCATGATTAGGGAGGTTAGACACAAATAAACCGAATAAGATTAATTGGTTAGATTGAACCAATACGGGTCAGGTTCAATTCAGATACTAATCGGTCTGGTTCGGTTATTACTCAAATAAACCAAATAACATTTATAATATAATTAAGGACAGAAGAACTGAAACCGAATAAAGTGTATTGTTTGATTTTTTTTTAACTTATGGCGTTGTTTTTGTAATTATTTAAGGGATTAGAAATGTAATAAGATATATTTTCGGATGTATTAAATTATTTATATCGTTGGGTTTCACAAGTTTTAAAATAATATTTTTTATATTTTTAACATGATATGATGCTACGATTAAATGTTAACTAATATTAATTCATTTATTAAAAAAAAAAAAATCACAATTGAGTATAGCTAACTATAAATTATATGCATCCAAATCTTGAGATATAGTTATGAAAGCCATATAATAAACAATAAACATTAAACATCCAAAAATCCATATATAAATATATAAGTCAAACATTGAACATTAAACACCCAAACGAAAATATGAATAAGCCTAAAATATATACCCGAGAACCAAACCAAAAAGCTTATTACGTCCTAATTTGGTCTGGTTCCTTTAGAACCGATTAAGCAGTTATCCAGGTAACCGGGGCCAAAATACCCGAGAACCAAATAAGTCTAAAATATATACCTAAGAATCGAACCGGATAGCTTATTTGATCTGAATTTGGTTCGGTTCGGTTCAAGTTCATGTATTCGATTCAAATGCTCATCCCTACTCATTATGATTCTAAAACATAAAGCTAGTGCAAAAATTCATAGCCTTCAAATAAATAAATCTCCCAAATCACACGACCTAATTTGAAAATTTTCGAATATGTTGCTTCCATCATTTCCTCATCAACTTCATATTGAAGCTCAAAGATTACAATTTAGCTAAAATTAAAAGTCTAGGTTGTCTTTTTGATACTTTTTCTTCTTCATTGCTTCCAAAACTAATCTCCATCCAAGTCTCTAGTCAATTCCAATGAGAGAGAAAGAAGTTGGGAGTTTATGTTCAAATGTTTGGACACTTGGCTTTTTATTCCTTTTATAATAAAGTTTATCATAAGCTTGTCGAACTTGTTTAATTAAACCTAATACATTAGGATTTTTCTACCTTAAATCCTATACACAAAGTTTCTTAACATATTTGAACCCGACCAAGTCAAATCAAGGCCAAATCTAAGTTTTTGAATTTAAGAAGTTTATCCTCTCAAACTTAAATCTTCTCATTTATCTTATTTTGACCTTCTAACTATTTTGGAACATAAAAAACTCTAAAAAAATCCTTTTCCAAAATCATGGTTGTAGAGACACAAAAGTTGGCGGAAAACACAATATCATATCCCTAAACATGGAGCTTCTAGGGTTTTCCAACTAAAGGATCACATGTTTTTTTCATGCTAATGCCAAGGATAATTCAAACCCTTATAGACTTCCTTTCTTTGTCTAAAGAGTTTCAGATCTAATATTCAATTTAATGTGATCTGCTTTTTTTAAATGCTTTCATATTATAACTCGTATTGTAAATATTATTAGGGGTCAATTAATAATAGATAATAACCATATTATTCATTCACTTTTTATGTAACGTCCGGTTTCCAGGTAAATTCTTTAAGTTTTCAATATTTAATTATTTTGCATAAAAGACGATTATGATGGTCGTAATTGAGAGTTACGAGGGGCGTAACTCATTAAACTTGGTCGCGATTTCTCTTGAGTACGTCGGTCTGTATTCAAGGCAAAGGCAAACCCTAATTTTTGGGTATTGAACCATATTTAAAGACCTTAACCCCTTGGAAACCCTTCTTATCATCAGCCACCACCAAGGCCGTCCCAAGATGATTTGAGGCCCAGGGCAAAAAAATGGAGCCCTTTGCAATTGATATATAAATCTAAATTTTATTTTTAGTAAAGGAGGGCGGTACCTCTGGAAAATTTTATTAATTATAAAAAATTAATACAATTGCAGGCTGGGAACTCCCCACCTATGGAAAGGAAAAAGCTTTGGGCCAGCCCAACCAAAGCCAAATAATCTAAAACTGTAAATATAAAACAATAAAATAGAAAGACTATAACATGTTTTAAACCCTATTACATAAAGATAGCAAAAAAACTATAAAAAATTACATTTACGAGCTTTTTTAAAAGCAAAGTCATCATAAATAGTATCAATGTCAATTTTATCCAACATATCTTTTTCAATACATAACATAGTCAAACCATTCAATCTTTATTGTGACATAGATGATCTCAAATAACTTTAATTCTGAAAAACTTCTTTTTACTAATGCTATAGTAACATGTATAATTAATAATATTCGATATGTAATGAAAACTACCATTATTATCTTCATTAAGCTTCTTGTTAGACCCTCAAAAAGCCAAATTTTGTATTTTGATAAATATTTGACAACAAAAATTATTCTTATTAAAACTTATCTCCAACGTTCTTTTTCTTTTACATATTGTTGTTGCAAGTCTTTATCAATCGTTTCATTATTATTCAATCGTATTTTTAGCTCATTCCAAGATCGCACACATAAAATATGTTGGGCACTATTTTTATGTTCATCAAGTCTTTCAAAAAGGTGTTTCCAATTGTTAAATCCATTATTTGCCAAAGTAATTTGATTACTATTATTATTAGGTTTAAACAACTTACAACAAAAACAGTAAACTTTATCTACTTGTTTAAAATAAATTAATCATTTTTGATCACTTGTTTTACCATTACCTAGCTTTCTAGTATAAGCACCATTCGAAAAATATCTAGATAAAGTATCTTTAGGAAACACAAGATTTAATTCTCTAATGGATCATTTTTCAACTAAATTTTCCTTAATTTATTGTCAATTTTATCCTAATTACATGGATCATAAATATTTAAATGATGAACAAATTGATGGTCATTTTCATTCATATCATTTTCACAAATAGCATTAGTTTCATTACCAATTTCATTCTTATTAGTGCTATTTTCATCCACATTAGTAAAAATATTTTCATTACCAATTTCATTCTCATTAGTATTGTTTACATTCTCATTAGTAACATTATTTTCATTATCAATTTCATTCTCATTAGCATTAATCTCATTATCATGGTTGTCATTTTCATTATCATTTGTGATATTTTCATGTTCCGTTGAAGCATTAGAATTATTTACCTTTTTTATAAATTTCTAAATAGATCCCTTTTGAGCTTGTTCGCTTGTTCATCTTGTTCTATTTTTTGTTTCTTGTCTTTTTTGAATTCCAGATAGATGTTTTCTAGAATTATTTACCTTTTTTTTATAAATTTATCCATAGTTCCTTCTGATTTTGTTATTATATAGGCCTTTTATATATACATTAACATACTTCTAAAGTGGGCCCTATACAATTTTGAGGCCCTGGGCCAATACCCAACCTGCCCCCCCCCCCTCCCGTATTGGGCTGGGCATGGCCACCACCCTCTCTCTCAGCCTCTGATATACATTAACATACTTCATTTGTGAGAATCTCAAGCTTTTATGTGATTTTTGGTGTGTTATAACGAAGAGGGAGATCTTGGAAGGTGTGCTTGGAGCCCATAGCTTATAGATCCAGACTTTGCTCACATTGATCATCCTTCTGGAGGTATAAAGTCTCAACCTTTATGATTCTTTTGCATAGATCTAGATTTAGCTTAAGGTTTTGGCATGCTTGGTCCTAAGGGTTGGTCTTGTGAGTATAAGCTACTCTAGAGTTCAAGTTAGTTACTTTAAGATGTTTATGAGGATCTTGAGCCATAAAAATGGAGTCTTTGATGTTATTTCTCACTCATGCGAGAGTTTAAGGTTGTTTAAGAGTGTTAGGGACTTAGGGTTTGGTTTTGGGCTCTATTAAGCAATACAAAAGCTTAAAGTAGTCAAGTTTATAAATTAAGACGTTCCCAAGATTAAGATCTATGAGTTAGATAAAAAGGTCTTTAAGCAGTAAAAGCTTAATAACAATTTTGAGCAACTGACAAGTACGTTGGGCATACCCTCTAGGTACGCATGGCATAACGGGTTTAGCTCGTGTCCCTTTTCAATGAATTCCTATTACGCTGGGCGTATGCACGGTGTACAGATGACGTACTCACCTGAAGCCCTTTGGGCCTTGGGCCAGTTTGGGCATTGGGTCATGGTTAGTTGGGTCCATAGTAGGAAGGGTAAAATGGCCTTTTACCCTTTGTAAGAGAGATTATGATTTAGACCTTTATTTGTGGGTTATTACCCTAAATAGTGATTAGGGTTGGTTTGAATGTGTTCAGTGTGAGGAGTTGTTGTAACAGCATCAGATTGAGGTGAGTTGTTACATTGTACTTGTGGGTCGAAGACACCAATATCGGCCCATTGGATTATATTTGTAGGATGCTAGTTGTCTATGTGATACTTGCATGTTGTGTATGTTGGGTGGGGCTCGTTATGCGAGTTAGGGCGAGGCCCGTTATACTCATTGGGCGGGATTCGTTGCTTGTATGGTATGTGGTATTTTGGGAAACTCACTAAGCTTCGTGGTTATGGTTTGTGTTTAAATGTTTTTAAGTACTTTTGGTTCAAAGGGAAAGGTTCCAGCCTGATCACAGTGCATCCACCCGTATCCAACATTTTACAATTTTTGGATCGTACTATGAGAACTATTTTCTATCTTGACATACTTTAAGAATTTGAGATGAATGATTGATGATTTGGGTTGATCTAAAAATAAAAAATTTTACTTAGTATTTTTAGAATGTTACATTTTCCTTTTTGTACGACCCAAAATAGAATAGATGGCAATGTTGTGCTTATTGTATGATCATGTACATACACTAATAAGAATTGCATTATTTATGTACTCTCATCCATGATAGACGTTATGATCCTACAACTTTCTTATATTTGAATTGCTTGTAAAGGAACAATTTGGATATTGTGATTTTTTAGAATCCGTAAAACTAATATTAATAGAAACATCTAGATCATGTTTGTCTATTGTATGTTGCGACCATATAATTGGCATGAGATTAAGGGTATACATGATTATGATGACACATACGGTATTGGCATCCAGTGAGGGTGCGGATAGTGAATCGTTGGAGAAGAATGTCCTGTGACAACTTAGTATTCTAGATTATTGATAACCAAATAGTTGGAATTAATGTGGGCAAGCCCGAAGGATGCCCCATGACAACTAAGCATTTTAGATTGTTAATAACCAAATAGTTGGAACTAATGTGGGTAAGCCCACTCCACAAGTAACTTCCCAATATATTTGTTGAGGCATGTAAATATATGTAGAATCTCATATTAACTCCCTAAAATAGTCTTTGTGGAGAGAAAGGAGACCTAACATATATAAACACTTATTGAACCGTGTTGCACCGTTGTGGGATACACTAACACTGACATCAGAGTAGGAGGCTCGATTCGGATAAACAAGAATGTGTTGAGCCATTGGGGTGCAGGAAGTCAATTATGATACCATGTAAACATATGTTGAGTCCTATATTTACTTTCCAAAAGAGTTGTTGTGGAGAGAAGAAATACCAACATATATAGATATTTATTGGACTGACCAATATGATATACAATAGCATGGAATCTTAGTAAAGATGATGATTGGGTTTGATTATGAAAAATTCCACCCAACCATGACAAAGATGGGATGTAGCATGCGTTGCACATAACATAGCATGCACACATTATATTCATCCATGAAAATTCAATTTTTCCATGATATATGTTTGTATGTTTTATTGTATATGAACCCCTTATGTTTGTATGTTTGTAATTTGTCTATAAACAAGTTACTTATCGATTAAGATTCCAACTTTACTTACGCACGACTCAAGATGACCATCACATACCAAATTCTTTTGTACCTTTTTCCTTTTCTTTATTTTATATCTTTCCACATTTTAATGTGATTAAACAACTTAGACGCAACACTTGCAACAAACAATACAAATAGACGTTAGACAACTCACCTTACCACCATCCAATCCTTTATTTATTTCACTATGCACAAAATAATAATACAAAAAAAATATTCTTTGATTGTCATCTCCAACTACCAATGGAGAATGACTATTATACCCTTTTCTTTTATCAAATAAAAGAGCTTACACATTAAACAAACACAAATAACAACCCACTAACACCCCCACAAAAAAAGAAAGCATGGAGTTTGATGCATACCATAACTGTATCTCACATGTCCTTTCAAGTCTTTATACATTCCCTGTGATGAAAAAAGAAATGGAAAAACAAATACTGTAGGAATTAATGACTCGTTTAATTAGGAGAAATTGGTTGTATTTTCGAAATACCCATTTATTAATCTATTTCCCATAATGAACGTTTTATAAACATTTTTTTGGTAAAACAATTTGAGCAATTCGGCCTAGGCGTAGATGTGACATATAACTTGAATCAATAAGAGAAAACTTTTGTTATTGCCTTTCTATTTTTTAGGTAAGCAATACACAACACCTGAATAGAAATTTGAAAGAGAGGTAACAACAAAAGATTCATGGACCTTTTTATACCTAATTAATTAAAAATTAAGAAATATCTAAGTTCATTTATGTCATTTTCTATCTTCATTTGCAATTTGTGACAGGTCATCCGAACTTTCCCATTATTAAAGATGACTATATATACGGTTGAGTTGACCTTTCTCTATGATAGAAATCCAATAAACTAAACCACACCACAATTCATTTGAAGAAAACTTTTGTGATATATATATATTATCATTTATTTAATATAAATAAAACCAATCATGAAATTATATATATAAAAAATAATAATAAACACAAGATTTGAGAAGAGAGTTTTTGAACCTTTTGATTGGCAGATCAGATGAAGTGTAAGTGATGAATGAAAGGGAGAATTCTAGTGGCACGTGGTGAACCGGGAATCTTGCCCAAATGTCCCAAGCACTTGACATGCTACCTCGACCAATTTCCCTGCATATAATAATAATATATTATTATTTTTTTTGGTTAATTAAGTATAGGTTTATTAATAATTAATAAATAATTAGTTCATCATTAGCTACATATAGTTTAATTAAACTCATTCAAAAAATAAAACAGCTTCATAACTTCATGTTATTCCGTAACGACTACTGACAACAGTTAATTGCTTCTTAAAATAATAATTAATTATGTTTAACATTTAACACGTCGTTGCACACCATAACTATGTATACACATTAAACACGTACATAACCACCTTTATTTATTTATTTAATATAGATATAGATATAGATATGACTAATCCAGTGCACTATATGTGAGTATTATTATTACTTATTATAGATGAATTTAGTTTAATAAATAAAATATATGAAGATTAACGAATTGCTAAATATAAAAAAAAAAAAAAAAAAAAAAAAAAAAACAAGGAGCGGAAAACTGACAAATACTATAATTAGTGAGATTGAATGCTTTTACTGACAGCATGATTCTGAAGATGTCAAAAAGCAGGAGAAGATCCGATCATATGGCTAACTACATTACAATTGTAAATGCACGTATAAAGATATAAAATATTTGATGATTAATGATTAATGTATGTATAATAATACACTTTGGATTCTTTAATTATTTTTAAAAGCACATGAGTATACATACCGATACCATCAAAATAAAGATGAAATACCCTTTTCGTTTTTAAGCTATAAAACATGTTTGATGCGTAAAGTGTGGAACATGCAACATGCCTACTCATGAATTTCGATGTCAAGAAAGTGGAAGATAGATAGATTGACCATACATGTACAAGCGAATGAGCACAGAGTACAAGTGAGTTTCAGCAGTGAGTAGGGTCTCAAAGAGGACAATTACAACAAGAAGGAGTTGGGGTTTTGGATTTATATGTTGGTTTCGATTTGAAGTTTCAGTGTGTTGTTTAGTGGAAGTGAGAAGCCTGCCAACGTGGCGAAAGTATATAGAGTTTTATTTCCTTTAATTTTAAGAATTCTATCAATTACAATTTACAATAATGGTAAAAAAAAAAAAAAAAAAAAAAAAAAAGTCAACCGAGCAAAATAATTTGACCGAGTTGGCATATCAAAGAGCCCTTTAAATCACCTAATCCGAATTTGTATACCGACTACTCGTGGATCGGTTATTCATTGCAATAATTGTATGTATTTTTTTTAAATACTATAAACAAATAACTAAAAATATATCGTTGTATCTTGCTTTTAGCTCTATTTCGATATAAACCACTAATTTTTTGCAATTTGCAAAAAGAAATACACTCCAGCTCATATATATGTTTATATCAAAATATATATGTACATCATCATTAAATAATGGACCTCACAACAAATATTATTTATTTATTACCGAAACAAAACAAAAAACCACCATGACATAATGTTTTAGTTGTGTTCATGGTAGATGCATCATGATTAATGATATAGAAACTTAGACAAGAATCCTTCTTGTTACACTAAAGGTTGTTTTGTCTCTGGCTGAGAAATGTTGTACATTACAAGTACCAAAAGCTATGTTTTTATTTTTCCCATTGAAATGGTAAGAGTATAAAAATTGTAATTCTACATTTTTTATCAACATATATTTCTTATAAGCTAATTAAATATATTATTTGTATAATGTAACCAAATTAACTATAACATAATTAGTGAGTTAGGCGCAAAGAGACAATGTTAGGTACGATAGTATAATGAAGCATTTATGAAAAGATTAGTATCTAATATAATTATAGAAACATAAACATATAATTTATATCTTTTTTTTTTTAGGTATGCAACTACAAATATGCGAAAACTTTACCAAATGTATAAATTGAATATTAATTAATTTGTCAAGGTCGTACATGACAAAATCATAAATTTTATTTATACTTTTACGTGTTTAACATCCTTTTAGTATTTATAATACTTGTACCTTTTGATGCAATTATTGATCATGCATAAAAACTTTAATATATTTATATTGACTTCATATGTTTAAAAAGGTTTCAAATGTAGAATTAAAGTATGACAACGAGTAAACTAACAGATGGACAATCACTCAACCATTGGAGAAGTTAGTACTTCATTTATCGCTATGAAATTATAATATTTACAATATCATAGAAATGTCAGTTTCAACAATTTATTAGAAAATGAATCAATTTTGTTTTATATTTGGTTTTTAACGGGTCAAATAAGTAAATTTTAAAACAAACAAATATATTAACTTTATGAAACAAATTTTGTGATAAAAAATTGAGCAACAAAAAAAGGTCAAAATTTTTCTTCCTATCTTCTAAAGAAAATTCACTAGAATGTATACTTAAGCTAATTGAATCAAATACAACTACGGATTACACAAAGGCTTTTAAGTGTAATATTAAATTGTCTGAATCTAACCGAATTAGACACAGCTAAAAGAAAATTCACTAGAATATATACTTAAGCTAATAGAATTAAAGTATGACAATATTTTTAAATTATTTTGTAAAAATATGGTTAAGTTTGTTGGATCTATTTGTTTGAATTTCAGGAAAAATCGATAAATTATAAATAGTAGTAAACATTTTTCATGAAATTCAACCTTGAAATTTCACTACCTCATTTATGATGTTCTTTAACATCCTAATAATTAAAAGGTGTTATTCATCACGGGCCACCAGTACAGATTAGCAAAATGTCGATTTTGCCCCTCTTTGACTCACCGACAAAACAAGTCTAAAGAAGTAAGAACAGTGATTTTGATTCTTGTGAAGAAATAGGTTGATTGAAATGTCTGTTGGCATCATGTAATTAGGTAAAAAGATAACTCATGAATCAACGTAAAATGTATGCAAAATTAAACCACCATTGTTTCCGGCAAGAAAGGATAAAACAAGAAAATGTAATGCAAGAAGAGGTTTCCGGCGTACCTCTACGAGATTTGGGTGTGACTTGAACATGATCGACGGTTTTTGTGATTTCTGTCTTCTCCGATGCCGGAAACAAAACCCCATCAATACCCTGAACCGATATTCTACCGTCGGTGTAAATATCAGGATCGAACAGATACGCCGTTTCCTCGTCGTCGCCGAATTTCACCGATCCATCGGCTTCCTGAGCCACCACCTTATGAGGAACGTGAAGAGTATCGTATCGAATCTTCCCGAACCTTCTAACAGCATTATACATGCTTTCTTCAGTTTGGTACTCCGGCACGATATGGTAGTACATGATCCTCTCCGGCGCACCAGGCTCCGCCAGTTGATCGGCGGTCAATTTCGCCATTGCTTCGTCGTTAGGTGCTAGAACGGTTAATACGTATCCCTCCGACACTAGTTTCCCCATTTCCGTTGCCAAATTCGTTAAATTCACCAAAATGTCAGCCATCTCGTTGTATCTATATACACCAATTAAGAGCAATCGTGTTGAGTTTTGGAAATAAGTTGTGATTTTAGATGATTAACATTTAACATGATCGAATTGTGGGTTTAAATTTACCCGCCGTAGTGCAGCAGCGTGTGGATGAAATCCTTCACCTGGCTCTCACCGTCGAAGTGGTGGCGTGGACCGCCAGGTCCGGGAGCGGGAGCAGGTGCCAACGACGGACCGGGTGCCATGGCGTAGTAAATTGGTAGCACCGGAGACGATCCAGCGGGAACCGGAGGTGCCGGTTTCTTCAGTCTATTTGTTCTCGGATCCACCTCCGGTGCACCCTCCGGTTTAACGGCGGAAATGGCACGTAAGCTCCGACGGTTGTTGAAATCCTGCTGTACGGATTTGGGGATCAACAAACGACTAATTCCGTGAATTATTCCATCGGGTCGGAAAACGTCGTCTACCCGAACAACCTCCGCATTGCCGGCGAGCTTCATTGAATCCAAATTGGAGAGGTGTATGGGTTCCGCCGAGAGTGTGTCGTGACGAGTTGACTTTTCCGGCCACTCAGACTGACCTAGTCGACTAGGAACGATGTGGTGGAGGAGAAGCGTTTGAAGAGACTGAAGATTCCGAGGTTCAAGTAAAAACCGTTTGAATTCCGGGTCAAGCTCCCGCTCCAGAGCTTCATTTCTCGGAGCAAAAATGGTGATATTATGATTCGAAACAGCTTCTTCAAGCGTCTGCAATAAGAGCGCCTTCTCCACCAGCTCCGCCAGTTCGGTATAATGGGAATCAAGCAGCGCCACCAGTACAGAATTGGAGTTGATTTGCGTGGTCGCGTTGGTGGGTTTCCCAGACAATGCAGCCGCAGCGAGTTGACTCAATACAAACAGCATAGTAAGACACTTTCGTGTGGACGCCATTTTTTCCGGTTGGTGTCTAGCCGGCGATTATGGCGAGGGAACCCGTCTTCTTCAAGTAGGAAAAAGGGATTTTGATTTGCTTGGAAGGGAGGTCAAGCGTCTATGTGTGTGTGTGTGTGAGAGAGAGAGAGAGAGAGAAAGAGTGTGTGTGTTTGTTTCTCTCTCTTATTGGTGTTATTTCTCTCTCTAAGTTTGCTTCTAATTTATATCTTCATGGTGGTCGGGAGAGATGGTGGTGTGTACGACAGTGGTAAACAGGGGTTTGGTATAAAGGCGAGGGGTTGTGTGGAATTAAGCGAATCTTGAGGGGAGTTAAGTGTAAAGTTATGGGTAAAGTATCGTCGGTGGTGTGGTGGTGTGTTGCTGTCTATCGTCTATACGTAAGAGTCAGGCAGAAGAGAAATGAAAGTTTGATTATATGATGAGGAAGTCTCATAAAGTCGTCTTGCGATAATAGACAATGTATTAAGGGGGTGATTGGACTTTTAATATAAAACTGTTTATAAATTGTCTAATTTATAACTTATATATTGGATCTTAATAGGAAGTGGGGCAAATTATTATCTTATTATCTAATTAATAATTTCTATATCAAATGTCCAAGTTATAGTGATTGGTGAGTGATATTGAGAGGAAATGGGTTTGTTATTTTCATAATTTATTTTAACTAGGACCTTCTATTGTGAGGGATAGGAATGTTGAAGGATTCAAAAGAAATCGTCAAACTTATATAAGGTTTATTTGTGATGATCAATAGCAAGAACGTGAAGAATGCGTTTGAGGATAATGAGAATGAACAAAGTCGTAGAAAGAGATCGATTTCCTATTGGTACGGGAGGATAAAGTAAAGTCGCTAGCAAACTTTTTTAACATTTTCCTAGACACAATCAAGATGTTTAACCACTAGAGATTTTAGCATTGTGAATATCTATGAAACAAATAGGAAAATAAATTATAAGGATAATTTTTTTTTATATATATATTTGACCGGTTAAGTAGTCAAATATGTATATATAAAAAAATTGTTTAAATGCGATCAAATTTTTTTATAAATTTTTTAAGGTTTTTTATAATTTCTTACACTATTTTTATTATATTTGTTTCTAATACAATGTTTTAGATTTTGTTTATAACTTTTTTAATATTTTTTATACTTTCATATAATTTTAATACAAGTGTTTTTAAACCAAATATTTTATAAATGTTTTAAATTTGTCTTACAAGTTTTTAGCTTGCTTTTTTATATTTTCATACAATTTTTTTTAACTTTCATATATTTATTTATAAACTTTCTTTTACAACATTTTTAGAGTGTTTCACAAATTTTATATGTCAATTTATTATTTTTTATAACATTTTAAAATAGTTTCGTTAAATATTAGTTTAAAATGTTGTATTTAAAAAACTAAAAGTTTATAAACTTCTAATTAAAAATTATTAAAAAGTTCCAATAATTTTAAAACATTTACATTATATATATTTTTTATTTTTTTATTTGCTAAGTAATATTTTCTTTGTATTTTTTTAAAAGACATTTCATATTTATTGTTGCATATTTATTTTATTAAATTTTATTGTTAGATATTATTTACTTTAAAAGTATTGTATATGCTTAAAACAAAAGAATATATATATATATATATATATATATATATATATATATATATATATATATATATATATATAAGAGGCTATATAAAATATTTCACAAAACAGAAATATATTTCTTAATTAAAAAGTAAAATTTAGAATTGATCAATATTTAATTAATATTTATGAAATTATGGATATTTTAAAAATAACGCTTGAAAAAAAAAATACAAACAAATATGAAAAATAAAATCGTTATTAAAAATGGGGAAAATGACTTATCATGGTAATTAATTTTTCGTTTTATTCATATTTAGGCAATTTTTTTTACACATTTAACCATTTAACTTGTTAATTTGTTCACATATTATCAATGTCATCTACTATAACCGGTGACAATGGCAATATATAAACACATATAACAAGTTAAATGGTCAAATGTATACAAAAGTAAAAAAGTTACTAAAATGTAAACAAACGATAGAGATTATTACTCCGGTAAGTCATTTTCCTAAATAAATATGGCAAAGATGAGTGATGTTGTAATGATCTAACACTGTGATACTAATATGTGATAATGAAAAATGTGGCAACTATAGAGGTATTAAGTTATTTAGTCATATAATTACAATATTTAGAAATATCCTATAAGTTGTTCTATGTTTAAAAATATCCTATAAGTTGTTCTAACTCACAAAAAAATTATCCTATAAGTTGTTCTAACTCGTATTTTATAAGATTTAAATTTTGATGTGTTGTATTATTTACAAAGATTTAGGGGTATTTTCTTGGCATAATATTTTTTAAAGTAATAGAATTTGTCAAATGAATTTGAATTTGAATTTGATATAGGTTTGTTTGATATGGAATGAAATCTAGTTTGTTTTTTTATTTGTTAAATGAATTGGAAATGAAATTATATAATATGATCAAAAATACATTTTTAGTGATTTTTTTGTAACTTATTTTTTTAATAAACATGTCATGAATTTATAATTTTCATTTAACTAAAAATTATATTATTAAATATTCTTCAAATATAAATTATACAAATAACTAACATTTATTTTGATGAACACCTGACTACAAATCAAAAAACCTTTTAAAACAAAATATTGAACGATTGACTATAATAATATAAATCAATAAATGTCGGTCATTATCAATCTAAAAATAAAAAGGTTCACCACAAATGAATATGTAAAATAATGTAGCCACCTAATTTATACTCATAACACTCATGCAACATAATCATCACAGCATTACCACAATCTTTTCCTTCCAAATTCCAAAAACTTAACACAAATTCTGAATCATGCATTATTTTCCGACTTGCTTTGACTTGATTTGAACCTATCTAGCACACTCAATGACTGCATTTTTGAAACTTCATAAATCTCCATAGAAGCTTTCTTTTGTACATTTGTTTATTCTAATATAGCTTCATTCATGTTCTTCACTACCTTCTTCATTTTTTTTTCTCGATGCATCTTAGTTGCAATAGTTATTCCTTCTATTACATGATCAACTCTAAATTCCTCTTCTTTGTGCATGCATTTGTATTGGTTGCATCTTCTTCCATTTGGATGGTTGAAATCCACATCTATTCTTTAGTTTGCTCTTCATTGTTTACATATTCTTCCATTTAGGTAAAATCTTTGGTTTTATTCCCTTTCTATCCTTTCTAAAAATAATACGTAAGTCCTCCAAGTGAGGAAATATCGTGTTTGTCCACATGTACCTTTTCAAGTACTTTTATATATAATGAAACATTTAGCACATAAAAGTAAAATATGAATATTCATGAAGTAATAAAATATATAATAGTTTATATATTATACCGACATGCAAGACTCCTAAATTGTTGGTTTGGTTGTTACAAAATGTGTGGAGCTATCATAACAAAAACCACTTGTGTTCGTACCATTCACCATATCATAAACGACTTATCAAACTTTTTTCATGGTCTTGATACTTGACTAAATGCCAGGTTTACCCATTATACCATATTCTATAATATTTTTCCTTCAATTTATTTTCTTGATGTTGAGAATGTCCTGATTTAAAATTGATGTGATATGTGATCTCTGATAAGTCTCCTCATGACAGCAGCTACAGTGATGATTTGCTAACACACAAGGAAGAAAAAGAGCACCCCAACCATTTTCCAAAAAGGGGTCCCAGGAAAACACTCTAATGGTCTAGTTAGTTTCTAAAAAAGAGAGTTGTAGTGAGTATGAGAATATGAGGAATGGGATTTCTTTACAAATGTGAGAAAGGGGCCTTTATATTAACTCCTTGATATTGGTATCGCAATGAGAGACAATGGCGTCAAATCCGACAGGGGATAATGACATTGATTAGATGATCATTCTCATTTTGTATGTCAAAGCTTATGATTGGTTCGGGTAGTAATGGTCTATGCATTCCTCTTTGACGCCTGAAGGCGTTGCTTTTTGTCACAAGGTGACCAGAATCAAAGGTTAGCCAACCCTCCGCAGGCTAGTTGGCGCGAATTGTGAATGTCCGATGACTTGGCGCTAAATAGGGGTTTAAAATGTAAAATGGTAGCTTGGTTGTGACGACCAAAATCTTTTTCACTCTAGGTAGTTCTGGGATTATTAGAGATTTCTATAAAAATGTGGAATTCTATAACTCAAAACATTTTACATCCCAAACTAATATTGGGTTTATAATAAAATCATAATTATAGTTTAAAGCAACAAGGTCATACGAAAAAATAAACTTCTTATACTCCAAGTCCTTGTGCTCATATCTCCTCTTATACAACAGTTACTACATACACCTGCAACACATCAAATTATCTACAACATCATACCACGTGTTTAGGGAGTTATACTTTAATTAGTTCTCACGTATTCATACTCTACTACTCTTGTTCTTTCTTTCATTTCTCTTACTCTATCCTACATCATGCCTTCACATCTATTTTCATACTCGTTTCACACTTTATCTTAATGTCTTCTCATGTTCACTTCATTCTATATTCATCCCTATGTGAGGCTCTTCACGAATCCTCTCATTCCACTTTCTCACCTCATATCTTTCCTATCGTTTAACTTTATCTATACCTCTTATTATGCCCTTCTCTGTCACCTCATGATCCCTTCTAATTTTATGGGATACTTACTCATCTCTCTTCATGTCATCTCATCCTTGCTCTCACCTCTTTTTTTTTCACTTTGTCATTCTACTTTCGTTTAGACCAAACAGTCTAATCACATATGATAACTTCACATATCATGCAAGGGGACAATATACTTTGACCTTTGTAACGATCCAAAAAAACTTTTACTAACGATGTTAGCTTTCATTACTAGAATAAATGTTTTGCAGATGATTTTGGTTGTGTGGTTAAAATTTGAACTAAAGTAAATAAAATCCTTTCAGGGGAATAGTTACAAGTCAAGGGGTTGAAAGGTAATTTTGAAAAGTTAATTTTAAAATTAAAATAAGAATATGAATATAAAGTGCATAAGGCTAAAATGCATAGGGACCATAACTGTAAATGTGAAATAAAAGCCCTTGTGAATCTAACCATGCGCTTGATTACTTCCCCCACTCCATATTCTTGTTATTTTGT